CCCTTCCCTCTCATGCCCAGTTGACAAGGAGACTGCCCTGATTTATTTGGGTTAATAATACCTATTCTCTTTTAAAATGAAATTGTGGAAGATTTCTGAGAAATGATGATGAATATGATGCCAAGTCTTAAAACTTCCTTCTCAAAGCCTAATAAAATGAGTAACTATGAATAAAAGGGAAAGCTGGGGGACTTATAATTCTAGCTGAGATGGAGTAAGGACACTGCAGGCTAACTCTCCCATGAGAACAACAAATTGTCTGAATCAAAGTACAAAAAGCAGATACCTAAGGCCCCTGAAAAGTGTATACAGTAATAGCAGGTGAATTTGGGGAGAGAAAACAGTAATTAATGAATAACCAATATGGTAACAGTGAGTTTCATGGTTATTTTTCCTCTTCATACTCTGGGTTTGACCCAAGGGCAGGCTAAACAGGGGAACAAAGATAGACAGAAGCCCATCTCTGTGTTGACAGGGTCAACAAAGACAGACAGAAGCCCATCTCTGTGGCTTGAGCACCAGCTTAAAGAAAGGCCCCTATAAGCTGAAGAGCATGGGGGAGAATCCTTGTTTGTTTTAGTTTTTGTTTACTTTCGGGTCCTGCCCTGAGGCCAGCCCCAATTGTGAAACAACTTTACTGTGGTCTGAGCAGTGTTGCAGACACCTAAAAACTGTGAGATAAAATCTGTCCCTGAGGAAAGGGAACCTTTGTGTGAAGAGTTGGGGGAAGTTTTTTGGTCTTCTACTTCTATGTCTTGAGGACCTACTTGCGCAGAATTGTGCAGATGCACAGGGAGCTAAAACTGAGAGAATCGCATATTCCTGACCAGAAGAACTGTGAGAAGGAGCCCTTGAGAGACAGAGTGTGGGAGCAATGACGCGCACGAAAGATCAGGCAGAACTTGTCGTCTGAAGCTAACTAGGTGGATTGCTTGCTGAAACAAAAGGCAACATTCCTCAAAGACTTTTAACAGGACCCAGTCTCCTGACAATATTAAAAATGTCCAGCCATAATCCAGTATTAGTCAACCAAGAAAGACTGACCAATTCTCAAGAGAAAAGGTAATCAAATAGATGCCAACCCCCAAATTACCTAGATTTGGGGGTAAAAACTTGAAAGCAGCTAGTGCAGCCATGCTCCATAAAGGTGAACACTGTTGAGATGAATAGAAAGTAATTCTTAGCAGAGTTATATGTAAAAAGAACTAAATGAAAATTTTAGAAATGACAAAGTAGAATATGTGAAATAAAATTCATTGGCTGGCCTCAATAATAGAATGGCTTTGTCAGAGGAAAGGGTCCATGAGCTTGAAGATAGTTCCAACTGAGAACAAAGAGGAAAAAGTAAAATAAGCCTCCTGTTTGCTTTTTGTTTTTTAAACATATTTTATTGATTTCAGAGAGAAAGGAAGAGGGAGAGAGTGATAGAAACATCAGTGATGAGAGAGAATCATTGATTGGCTGCCTCCTTGCACGGTCCTCACAGGGGATGGAGCCTGCAACCCAGGTACATGCCCTTTACCAGGATTGAACCTGGGACCCTTCAGTCACAGGCCAGCGCTCTATCCACTGAGTCAAACCAGCTAGGACAGCCTCCTGTTTTTAAAAGCTCTTTCGCTGGGCATAGCATTCTGGATTGACAGGTTTGTCTGCTTTCTTTAACTCCTGTAAAGTTGTATTGATGGTTCTAGGGATCATTCTGGTATCATTTCCCTTCAGCCTGAAACACTTAATTTAATATTTCCTTAGAAATATTTCATTTAATAATTGTGATGAATACTCTTCGTTTACCTTCATCTGAGGAAGTCTTTATTTCACTTTCACTCCTAAAAAATATTTTTAGTAGCTATGGAATTCTGGGTTGTCAGTTTCTTTTGTTTTAGCATTAAAAAGATGGTGTCCCATTCATTGTCTTCTGACATCTGTGTTTCCTGATGAAAAATCTACAGTATTTTCAGATAAGTTCCCCTATCTGTAATGTGTCATTTTTTCCTACTGCTTTCGAGAGTTTTCCTTTATTTTTGGTTTTTAGCAGTTTTGTTAGGTACTTGGGTGTGGAATTCTTTGAGTTTGTTTTGTATATGATTCACTAAGTTGCTTGAAACCAGAAAGTTATGTCTTTCTCCAAATTTAGAAGTTTTCAAACATTATTTATTCAAAAAATTTATTTTTGGCACCAATCTCTTTTCTCCTCTTCTTCAGGTATTCCAATGACATTGATGTATTCCTATAGGACATAAAATTTAACATACAAAAATCAGTAGCCTTCATGTAAACAAACAACACACAGAACCTCACTACAACAACACATAAGATTAAACACTTAGGAATAATTTTGACAATAAATGCACAAAACTTATATGAAGTAAAAAAAATTTAAGCCCTGAAAGACTCAATGTATACTTGAACAAATGTAAAGATACCTGCTGTTTTTGAATAGGCCAACATTATAAAGATTTTAATCCTCCCTAAATTAATTTATAAATTCAGTGTAATCCCAGTAAAAAAAAGTCTCTATTATGGATTTAGAAAATTTGATACTAAAGTTCATGTGGAAAAGCAAGTAGGTTGGAGATAACCGGAAAAGGAAAACCATGGGGGAGGATTAATTCTCCCAGCCTGTAAATATTAAGGCCTGTAAAGTTAAAACTGTGTTGGTACTGACACATGAATAGACAAATACACCAATGGAATAGAACGTGTGATGACTTTGTAATGTTTCACCTCTGCCATGCTGATCTGCATTTTCCAGAATTCTCTGATACAAATGGAAGGTACAGAATTACACCCAAATATACATGGAAATTTAGTATATGACAAAGATGGCCTCCCTCTCTCTACTCACTGGGGTAAACTTGTATTTTTCAGTACATGATGCTGGGACAAGTGAAGAGCCGCTTGGAAAAGTTAAAATCAGATCCACATTTTACATCATACACACGAATAAGCTCTAAATGGATAAGGAATATAAATAAAAAAGTAAAACCATGCAAGTACCAGAAGAAAACATGAGTGTATTCCTCTTCAATGATGGTGTAGGGCAGTAGTCGGCAAACTGCGGCTCGCGAGCCACATGCGGCTCTTTGGCCCCTTGAGTGTGGCTCTTCCACAAAATACCGACTTCTGCGCATGGGCC